CTATGGCTTTTCCTTTCTCTTCGGCAGTGTATCTAGACGTCGTCCCTTTTTCCGTAGGGACTGTCTCTGGCAGATTCTTTCCACTCCTCAGCTCAACAGCGTTTACATGCTCTCGTGGATTTGGCTCGGGCTTCCCAGGAAATGTGCCCTGCTGCCTAGAGGGTTGTGATGCAAGCTGTGCGATCTGTGTATCCACTAGCTTCATATGTGCATCCATCCCGTCAAGCCTCCTCTCAAAGGTATCCTGCCTTGCCCTTATGCTCTGTACATCGGTTTTCAGCTCCGTAAATGATGTCTTCTGATCGAGCATTAGTTGGGCAAGCATCGTCTTGATGTCTGCTTCTTCATTCTTTGCCGGTGGAGGAGCTCGGTAACCCTGATTCTGTTGCCCGTATCCTGGATTGTGTTGCGCATATCCCTGATTCTGCCCCTGAAAAAACGTGACTGAGTAAAGCCCGGGGGATTCTGAGGGATTCTGGAAACGCCCTGTTGCTGTGCATTCAATGCTCCGCTCAGGTTTCCGTAGGAGAAACCAGGATGGTTCCTAGGCGCGTTCGGGTTGTAGACATTGGAAGGATTCTGGTACTGATTCCTTCCTACGTAGTTGACATCCTCAACCGGTTCTTCCTCTGATGTGGCCTGATCAACCAGAAACATGCCAGGCTGGACTTTCTGCGGGATAGGCGTACTCTTGAGTCCCATGTGCTGCTTAATTGCCGATAAATCTGACATGACCGCTTTCAAAGCAGCGGACTCACCCAAATCTACCCGTCTTGTAGAGCGTCTGATGCTATCTCCTGACATCCCTCTTGCCTTGGCCATCTTCGCAATCTGCATCTCTAGGGTGCCAAAGGGAATGTCGTATACACTCCCTCCACAAGCTGCATCCATCCATGCTCTAGTATCGTCTCTAAGTCCGTGGATGAATGTGGAGAGCAACAGCCGCTTATCCATGCCGTGATGTGGACAAAGGCGCTGATAGCCTTTGAATCTTTCCCATGCGTCGTATAGACTCTCATCACTCTCCTGAGTGAAACTGTGTATGGCTCTCTGTGCAGCTCGGGTCTTCTCTAGGGAGTAGTATTTCGCCATGAACTGCTCCTCTAGCTCCTCCCATGTCGTAATCGAGTTCGGCTCAAGGGTGTAGAGCCAATCTCTCGCCCGGTCCATCAGTGAAAAAGGAAAGGCCTCCAAGTATACATCTTCAATAGTAATCCCTCGTGCCTTCCTAACTGATCTGCACAGCATCTTGAACTGAGTCAAGTGAGCAATGAGATCCTCTGTAGGCCGCCCTCTGAAACTCGCCTGACTAAACATCGTGATGCACTGTGGCGGTAGCTCAAAACTGTCAATGGACGGATGGTTGATGCATGATAGGAGTTGGGTGTGCTTCGGTGCAATGTATGAACCCAAAGTCTCCTCTGCAACGTAGGTAGCTTCGCCCTCAGTCTGCTGATCATAGAGCGGATTCATGTGCTCTTGATTCTCTTGATGCTCCTCATCATGAACCGCATGGTCGTGCGAACTACTTGACCTCGACATAGCTTCTCTTCTCTGATGATTTCGGATGTCTCTCAAGGTACGCTCAATCTTTGGATCGTAGACTAGGTCTTCTCTCCGAGTAGAGCTACGTGTCATGCACTAAAATCCTGCAAATCGCAAAGAAAAAGAAGAACTCGAAACCAAGTGAATCCGCAAAAACCAAAGAAACAAAAAGAAAAAAGAAAAAGAAAACAAGCTAAGATCTAGAATCAATAAAGACCTAGAAATAAGCAAACCAGTCCCCGGCAACGGTGCCAAAAACTTGATACGTGTGTACCGAGTCTAGAATTTATACCCGATTCACAACTCACCGCAAGGATACGGATCGTCGTAACACGGGGTTGAACACAAGGACCGGTTGCTAAGTCTAAATCCCAATCGAGACTAAATCAAAGTAAGGAAGTAGAAGTGATGGTGGAAGTATATGGAAAGAATAGAAAATAAGGAAATAAAGCAATAAAAACGTGTAAGCTAGTAATCTAAGATGACCGTGGGTGTCGGGACCGTATTCGCGTGTATGGGTATATGCTAAGCATGCGAGAATCACGATATTGAATTTTTATTCGGGAATCGTCAAGCAACAAAAATAGAGAAATCACCTCCCGGCATATAATTCACTCTCTAAAGTTCTCTAAATCCATATCCCTATGTGATTTATCAAACTAGATGCATAAAGAACACTATCATCAATCCTAGATCGATCAAACCATATTCCTATGTGAATAATACAAACTATTCTATCGATTTCGTTCCGAAACTAAACCCATATTCCTATGTAGTTAAGAATCTCAAACAATTGGCCAAGGGGTCAGCAAACACCAATCGAATAAAGCACAAATCAATAAAACCAAAACAAATCCAAATCGCAACCAAGTTAGGGTTCAAACATACACAAAACACAAACGAATCCCTAACCCACAACCGTGGATCTACTCACGGTTCATGGAAAAACACTGAGCAAAACTAGAAACAGAAAGAAAAGAGGGAGAAGAAAGACTCATGTCGACAGCAAGCGATCTTCACGTTCCAACTCTCCTTCTTCTTCCCGAAATCCCGTAAAACTCTTATTTCTCTCACCAAAGCTCTCCAAAGTCTGTATAAAGTCTGTCTCCCTCTCTAGGACGTCTGTAGGCTCTTTTTATAAACCCTAGGCGGCGCCCCCGAAGTCCTATTCCCATCAAAACTCTAAAAATTCGAATCTGGGCTTTTTCTGGGTTTTGACTCGGACCGAGTCAGTACTCTGACTCGACGATTCGTAGGATTGGTCTATTCTTTTTTTTAAGTTTCGTGTCAGGGCTTGAACCAAGTATCCCAACTTCTTCTACCCATACGAATCTGGGCTTGTTCGGGGTTTTGACTCGGACAGAGTCAGTACTCTGACTCGACCGAGTCAAAACGGGACTATTAAGAATTCGGCCCAGCCCATTCTTCTGACTCGGTGTGTGTGACTCAGGGTGTCTCACTCGGGGTGTCTGACTCGGGCCTTCTGACTCGGTGTGTTTGACTCGGGCCGAGTCAAGGCGGGAAATTCTTGACTCTTTCATCCTTTTAGCTCCAGATTGCTCCCGTCTTGCTCCAAATCGCATCCGAGACTTGTAATCCTATGAAAACATAACCAAACCGAGTTTCGTGGCCTAACACGCCTATAATGCCTACAAATGAATATGATCCTCATATAAATCCTATAAAAACTTCCAGGAAATATAGAGAGAATTAGGAGTTATCAATGACCATGTGTATTGGATACGGATCATGGTCATGAGTACTTGTTTGGAACAAGTGACTGGATGACTCGCGTGAGATTGTCGATTGGATTTAATCCATGACTTGAATCTCACTTGATGGTTCACTTTGGATCCTCAGACCTGAGATATCTATTGTATCCATCATGACGAGTAATGTACTTTGACTGCATCAAACGTCGTCTTTAACCAGATGATTATAAAGGCGTGGCTCGGGTACATTATGAATCATGTAATGGATAGCAGATAGTCAAGATGGAACTTGTCCCTCTCGAAAGAGAGAGATATCGCTTGGGCCCGTCGTGGGAGTGAGACTGTAGAAATTTGTGGCCACACTATAGATGAATGTCATCTATCTCTTACAGTCTACTCGGGATACGACAAAGCATTCGAACTATGAGTTCGATTATGATATCGTGAGACAAAGAGGATCATCGTTGGAGCTATCTCTGGCTTTTCGGTTAGATCACATCTAACTCTTTCCGATATGGGTAATCATAATGTCTTGCTAGAGACCGCTTATGATTTGTAAAGCGAGATTGGATCTCGCGTTTACTACCGTATTCGGAGGAGTCTAAAGGGTCACACACATATGGGATGGACGTGTATGAACGGGATCAAACAGACGAGAAAAATCAGATTTTTATTCGTTTTTGAGGTCTGGTCCGGAGCTGATCAAGAGTTGGTCAGCCGGACCAGACAGACTTGGAGAGGCGGAGTGAATGGCCGAAAAAAACTGGTCTGGTCCGGAGCTGGCCAAATGTTGGTCTGGCGGACCAGGCCAGTCAGACGGACGAGGACGTAACGCACGGAGCAAGGTCGGTCCGGCGGACCAAAATCTTGGTCCGCCGGACCAGACGGTCAGTCGATGTGGGACACGGTCCGAAGCTCTCCTGGTCTGACGGACCAAGTTTCTGGTCCGCCGGATCGCGAGCTTTTTTGGACTGTCAGCAGAAAATGGTCTTGGTCCGGCTGACCAAAAGTTGGTCAGCTCCGGACCAAGACCCTGACCGAACTATTTTGCGAGTTTTACATGCTTGGTCCGGCGGACCAAGAGTTGGTCTGGCTCGAAACTCCAAAATGCTTTTTCTCGCCTTTTCTGTAATGGGAAGTAGGTGGGGAAGGCTAGGCTCATGATTATGTCGTCCCTTGACCTCCAGAAGAGCTAAGGTTGGTCTAAAAAACTCTCTCAACCAAGAAAGTGTGTTCTTGATCCATACACAAGAGATATTGATCTCTTCAAGCTCTAGCAAGCAAGATTCCAAGTGTTGGAATTCATCCCAAGGGTGTAGACTGCTCAAGAGGGTGTTGGCTCCTTCAACACCTAGGTTGTGATCAACTAACCGCATCAAAATTGTGAACTAAAGGTTAGTTTTTCTCTCAAGAAAGTTCTTCATCGAAAGATTGGTCCGTGGGTGTTCAAAAGAATTTTTGAACGCTAATTCCGCTACGTAAGCCCGCGGACCAGATCCTATCACGGTTTTGAACCGGCGGTCTAGGATCCCATGTGACCCAACATAGGAGGCCATGTGCTAAGTGTGGTCGAGACCATATTGGACCCTGTGGAACCACCATGACGTGCTTCCGTTGCGGTCAAACGGGACATTTTGCTTCTAAATGCACTGCAAACATAACTCCTCAAGCCAACAACAAGCCACAACATCCAGCACAGAGGGGATTGGGTATTGCTCTGAGAGTTTATGCTCTCACAGCTGAAGAGGATGTCCAGGGGGAGCCATACACAGTGGAGGAGCCAATTGTTGCAGAATCATTGACCACCTAGGAGGCCACTGATGAAGATTATCTGGAGGAGGCTGATGTTGCTGCCATCACAGGTACCACTTGCATACATGATGTTGCATGCGTCACTTTATTTGACACAGGAGCTACAAATAGCTTCTTGAGTGAGAAAAAGGCTGGAGAATTGTCGATCATGGAGATCGATCCGATTACACATTTTATGGTGTGTTCACCTGCGGGACAGACTCTTCTAGTACAGGGGATTTTGCATTGCATACCCTTGACTATCTGTGGGAGGATGTTGACTGCAGATCTTATCGCCGTACCTATTCGGGGTTACGACTTAATACTGGGAATGGATTGGTTGTCGAAGCATCAAGCCTAGATTGATTGTCGCCAGCGAACTATTTGGTTCACTGAGGAGAGCGGAGGATTCGAGTTCGTTGGGAACAGGTCACGGAAGGTGTATCCAATTATATCAGCTTTGAAGGCTAACAGGATGATCGAGAAAGGGAGTGAAGCCTTCTTGGTCATAATCACATCAACCGAAGAATCCGAAACAAAGTTGGAAGACACTGTTGTGGTTCGGGAATTCCCCGATGTATTTCCTGATGAACTACCCGAACTACCACCAGAACGGGAAGTAGATTTCTCCATTGAACGGAGCCAATATCCAAGACTCCCTATAGGATGGCTCCGACCGAGATGGCAGAACTGAAGAAGCAGTTGAACGAACTAATGGAGACAGGGTTTATCTGACCGAGCGTATCACCGTGGGGAGCACCTGTGTTATTTGTGAAGAAGAAGGATGGTAGTATGCGACTCTGCATCGACTACCGAGGCCTTAACCAAGTGATCATCAAGAATCGCTACCCCTTGCCAAGAATTGATGAGCTGCTTGACCAGTTGCAAGGAGCAAAGTGGTTTTCCAAGATCGATTTACGTTCTTGGTATTACCAGATCCGAGTAAAGGCTGGGGATATTCAAAAGACTGCCTTTCGAACGAGGTACGAGCACTTTGAATTTATGGTCATTCCATTTGGTTTGACGAATGCCCCAGCAGTCTTCATGCAGTTAATGCACCGCGTGTTCATGGATTATCTCGATGAGTTCGTCATAATGTTTATTGACGATCTCTTGATATATTCACCGGACCAGCAGACGCATGAAGAACACTTGCGGAAGATCTTATGGAGATTGCGGGATAATCAATTATACGCTAAATTCAGCAAGTGTGGTTTTTGGTTGCAAGAAATCGGATTCCTTGGTCACGTCATTTTGGCGCAAGGTATCCAGGTTGATCCAGCAAAGATTGAGGCAATAATGGATTGGAAGACGCCCACCAACGCAACCGAGATTTGAGGTTTCTTGGCTTTAGCAGGCTATTACCGTCGCTTCGTTAAAGGATTCGCTAAATTGGCAAAACCAATGACGAAACTGACGGGAAAGAATGTACGCTTCGAATGGACTGAGGATTGCGAGAAGAGTTTCATGGAACTCAAGAAGAGATTGACAACTGCATCTATTCTGGCGTTACCACGTCCAAGAATTCCGTATGATGTGTATACGGATGCGTCGAGGCAAGGCTTGGGTTTGTTGGGTTTCGCTACGGATTCCTAGCATGCGATCATATCGATCTAGGGTTTGGTTTACTAGGTTTCATGCAGCGGAAGGATAATCTAAACCTAGTCAAACGTCACACGCAACCAAACTCATCCGTAAAACCCCGTATAATCGTGTATATCACCGTGGGAATCGAATACTTACCTCTTTCCTGAAGAAACGGAAGTATGAGTCGATCCGGGGCCTGTTTAATCACCTAGGACTGAAGTTAGTCCCTCTACACGTATCCACACCGACGGGAAGGATTCCAAACGCTTTTGGAACCGATCTGCTAGGATCTGTGAAGTATATCAAGTGGGATCTAATCCCGGGAGCTAAAACTATTAAAAAAACGATTTCTTCTGAGTTTTTGCTCTGTCTTAGGGTTCTGAAAGTGAGTTCATCACTTAGGTCGGCGTCCAACACCTCCTTATAAGTTAGAAACCCTAATCCTTGTGAAAAGAGACTTTTTTCGAGTATTGACTCGGTCCGAGTCAGAACTCTGACTCGGTCGAGTCAGAACGAATCAGCCCAACCCCATTGTCAACTCTTGACTCGGCCCATTGAGTATTGACTCGGTCCGAGTCAAAACCTTGACTCGACCTAGTCAAAACATCAGCCAAGACCAAAACACTTTCTGGGCTTCTACTCGCATGGAACTGACTCGGTCCGAGTCAAATACTGACTTGGTCCGAGACAGAAGGTCCCGACACTCTGATTTGATACGAAAACCATTTTTTCCGACCAAATCCAAGTCTTCCTTTCCGATACTTCACATATAAGTCCATCTCTAATGGTGTGTGACCCTGTAGGCCCATTCGCAGTGGCAGCAGCCTCGAGAACCATTCCCGATCTACAAGTCATGGTTAACCTCTAGCAAGACGCCATGACTACCCACGTTGAATTGAGTTAGAGGTGATCTAACCGAGGCAGTAACAGCTCGAGTTCTGATCCTTTGTCTCACGATATCATATGTTGAACAAGGGCATGGTTTGAGCCACCCTTCAAGTTCAACTGCTTTCTCGTCTTGGCAAATCGACTAATAAAATAGATGCAACTTCATCTATAGTGTGGCCACGCATTTTCATAGTCCGACTTCCACGAGAGGGCCCAGCGATATCTCTCATATTAAGGAGGTGACAAGTCCCATATTGCATGTCCATTATCTCCATATGATTCGTGAACGTATCTGATCAACGCCGTTATAATCATCCGGTTAAAGACGACGTTTGACGCAGTCAAGACACGCCACTCCTCATATCAGATACTCTAGACATCTCAGGTCTGAGGATCCAAGAACGAACCGCTGTATGAGATTCAAGTCATGACTCTGTCCATGTGACAATCTCATGCGGGTCATCCAGTAACTCGTTCCAAACGAGAACCCATGATTGTGATTTGCATCTAATGCATATGATCATAATCATCTATCACACATCATGCTGGTCTTAATTCATCATTGTTCCCACAATGATAACTGACCAGTGAGTTTAGAATCATTCTCTAATGATTCAAGGATACCGAAATATAACAAACATGCCAATCATATAACGGGAAGAGTAATGCATTCATGAACCAATGAATCAATACAAAGTCAAAGTGTCATATCACGGATCATCCTAGAGCATCACAACCAACAATCTCCCACTATGCTCTTTGATCTATCCTACAAGCATCTAATCCCCATACCCATAACATGAACATCATGTTTTGATGAAGTGAGAGGCTTCGTCAACGGGTCGGCAATATTATCATCTGTCGACACTCTGCTTATCTTCACGTCTCCTCTGTCGATGATTTCCCTAATCAAGTGAAATCGCCTGAGTATGTGTTTGGATCTCTGGTGTGACCGGGGTTCCTTAGCTTGCGCAATCGCACCATTGTTGTCACAATACAACTCAATGGGATCTGCAATGCTAGGAATGACGCCCAGGTCTCCCACGAATTTCCTGATCCAAACAGCTTCCTTAGCTGCATCCGATGCTGCTATGTACTCGGCTTCTGTAGTCGAATCTGCCACGGTTGGCTGTTTGGAACTCTTCCAACTGATAGCCCCACTGTTCAGGCAGAAAACATAACTTGACTGCGATCTGAAGTCATCTCTGTCGGTTTGGAAACTAGCATCGGTATAACCACTTATAGCGAGCTCGTCTTCCAATCCGCCATACACCAAGAACAAATCCTTAGTCCTTCTCAAGTACTTAAGGATGTTCTTGACCGCAATCCTGTGAGCCTCATCTGGTGTAGATTGATATCTACTAGTCATGCTCAATGCATATGATACATCCGGGCGAGTACACAACATGGCGTACATGATGGATCCAATTGCCGAGGCATATGGAATCCTACTCATGCGCTCTTGCTCATCCTGTGTCTTTGGGCACTGAGTCTTGCGAAGAGCCATGTCATGTCCCATTGGCAAGGCACCCCTCTTGGAGTCTTGCATCTTGAACCGATTCAAGACCTTGTCAATGTATGTATTCTGACTTAGACCAAGAAGCCTTCTCGATGTATCTCTATAGATCTTGATTCCTAGAATATAGGCGGTTTCTCCTAAGTCCTTCATCGAAAAGACTGATCCTAGCCAGGATTTTACTCCTTGCAAGGTAGGAATGTCATTTCCGATGAGCAATATATCATCCACATAAAGTATAAGGAAGACCACTGCGCTCCCACTAACCTTCTTGTAAACACATGGCTCATCTTCGTTTTGCAGGAAGCCAAACGTTTTGACTGCCTCGTCAAATCGAAGATTCCAGCTCCTCGAAGCCTGCTTCAGTCCATAAATGGATCTCTGAAGCTTACACACCTTCCTCGGACTCTTAGGATCGACAAAACCCTCGGGTTGTGTCATGTACACATCCTCGAGCAAATTCCCGTTAAGGAATGCGGTCTTGACGTCCTTCTGCCATATCTCGTAGTCATAATACGCAGCTATGGCCAGCAGAATCCGTATGGATTTAAGCATCACAACTGGTGAAAAGGTTTCATCATAGTCTATACCATGAATCTGCCGAAACCCTTTCGCGACGAGTCGTGCCTTATAGGTGTGCACGATGCCATCCATGTCGGTTTTCTTCTTGAAAACCCACTTGCATCCAATGGTTTTAATACCATTGAATGAATCGACCAAAGTCCACACTTTGTTGTCGTACATGGATTGCATCTCAGACTCCATGGCCTGGTGCCATTTCTCGGAATCGGAACTCGCCACAACGTCTGAATACGACGTAGGCTCGTCATGTTCTAGTAACATGAGTTCGTCGTTTCCAGTCACCAGAAAACCATATCTTGTAGGCTCTTGGTGAATTCTACCAGATCTCCGAGGTTCACTAGGAGGTGTTGTCTCAACAACTTGTGATACAGGTTGAACTGTTTCGACCTGTTCACTCGGTTCTTCTACTATTTGTGGTTCTCGAACTTCTTCGAGATCTATTCTACTCCCACTGACTCTCTTGTTTGGAGACTAACTCTCTCTCCAAGAAAGATCCATTCCGAGCAACAAACACTTTGTTCTCAGATGGGTTGTAGAACCAATACCCTTTAGTTTCCTTAGGGTAACCCACAAATATACATTTATCAGACTTGGCGGATAGCTTATCAGAAGCCAGACGTTTCACGTAAACGTCGCATCCCCAAATCTTCATAAATGCTAACCTGGGACGCTTCCCAGTCCATATCTCATATGGAGTCTTCTGAACCGACTTTGTTGGACAGTTGTTCAGTATAAGCGCTGCTGTTTCCAACGCATATCCCCAGAAGGATTTAGGAAGATCGACCTGACTCATCATAGACCGTACCATATCCAATAAGGTTCGGTTCCTCCTCTCGGAAACGCCATTTCATTGTGGCGTTCCAGGTGGAGTCAGTGAGACAATCCCACAATCTGCCAGATAATCAGTGAACTCTTGGCTCATATACTCGCCACCTCGATCAGATCGAAGCAACTTGATCGTCTTGCCAAGTTGGTTCTGTACCTCGTTTCTGAAATTCTTGAACAATTCAAGTGTCTCAGACTTATGTCTCATCAAGTAGACATAACCGTACCTACTGAAATCATCAGTAAACATAACGAAATATAGTTAATCTCCTCTAGCGGGCGAGCTCATAGGACCGCACACATCACTATGTATGAGTTCTAGCAACTCCGTAGCCCGTTCTCCTTTTCTAGTAAAAGGAGATTTTGTCATCTTGCCCATCAAACAGGAATTGCATGATTCGATTGATTCATAATCAAAAGAATCAAGAAGTCCATCAGAATGAAGCTTCGCTATGCGTTTCTCGTTGATGTGGCCAAGTCGACAATGCCAGAGATAGGTTGGGTTTAAGTCGTTCGGCTTAAACCGCTTGGTACTAACGTTATAGATCGACCTGTATTTAGATGGTTCATCTTCCAAAAAATAAAGGCCATTAAACTGGTAACCCTTACCATAGAATAAATCGCCTCTTTAAATGGAAAGACATTTGTTCTCAATAACAAATCTGAAACCATCCGAGTCTAAACATGAAATCGATATAATGTTCATGCTGATGGCAGGTACAAAATAACAATCATGCAACTCCAATACAAGGCCAGAAGGTAAAGTCAGATCATAAGTCCCGACGGTTAATGCAACAACTTTTGCTCCATTCCCGACGCGGAGATCTACTTCTCCCTTCGTCAATTGTCTACTTCCTCGAAGTCCTTGCACATTTTCACAAATGTGTGAGGCACATCCGGTATCTAATACCCATGATGTAGAAGTAAACAAGTTCGCCTC